TTCCGGTGCTCTCCGTAAGCACTCTAGTCTAGTCTACACTCCTTTCAGACGAGACATAACCACGTGAAGACACGTTACGCTCGTGTTGTGTTCAAGGAACCTGTCCTTGGCCAGGAAAAACAGGCACTCGCTTGTTTAATTATTTTGCGATCTACATTTCTTCTTCTTTTTTGAAGTGAGAAGTACTGACGGAGTGACGGACCCCCCCCAAAACGAAAACTCTTCGGTTCTCCACGAATTACACAAGTCACCCAAAGCAGCGTTAAAAAAGCGGGAGGCGCCGAAAAGCGACTAATTTGCATCACTGTGGATAATAGGAATAAAATAAATATCTAGCAAAGTCTAATTGGATAAACCTGCACACCAAATAGCTCCTTTTTGAATGATCGTTATGCTTGGCTGAAAATAATTTTAACATGATCTGTTAGTGTGCAGATGTATCTGTTTCAACTGCAAGTTCACATCACCCCCCTAGTGTTTGTTCATGTTGGAACAGATAAATACTTTGAGGCATTTTTCAACATGGAAAGATCTTGCATCTTGTTGTATTAGGCTGCTGTGATGTTGCAAATCACTGTGAGTAGGATGTGTATCCACATGGCTAAAAACAACAACCCTTTAATTGAAAAACATGCAGCGGAGAGGTTGTGTGAACGGCATCTATTGCACATCTGTCCGTCCTGGGAGAGGGATCCCTCCTCTGTTGCTCTCCCTGAGGTTTCTCCCATGTTCCCCTTTAAACTTTGGGTTTTCTCTGGAAGTTTTTCCTTGTACGATGTGAGGGTCTAAGGACAGAGGGTGTCGTTTTCTCATACTGATATTCTGTACAAACTGTGCTGTTGTATTTGTTGTAAAGTGTCTTTATTGTAAAGTATTTTTATTGCATGTATAGCACTTTGGCTCAACCAAAAATCGTTTTGAAAATGTGCTATATAAAAAAAACTTGATTTGATCATGTCATTCTTCAATTTGTCTTTCCGTTGAATGGTGTTTTTCTCTTTGCTTCATAGATGGGCCTGTTCCTCTGCCCAACATGCCAAATCAAATCATGAATCGCATGCAGGTTTCACAAGGTACGTCTTAGAGTGCTACATGTTGCATATTTCTCATTCCAATACAAAGATGTAATGTGAAACTGAAAAGACTTTTAATAAAGGGACAATTCCAAAGCCACATTATCTAGAAGTCTGTATGAAGAACGTGTCAGTAAGGCTGAACACATTCACTGTAGAACCCATGAAAGGCAAGCAAACTAAGGGAAGAGACCATTTCTTTGCAGAACTATAAGATGCAATCTCAATATTCAAGTACTTCCACTTAACCACACAGGTCTAACTGTGGAGCTGTCTGAAAATGGACATGTGTAAAGGTCTGAGAGTTTCTGCATAGACTGGAAGAAAAATACAAATTTAAGCTTTCACCACCATATTTTATTGGGTAATGCTTCTTTAGCTCTGTGAAGTTGTGTTTGCTATTTTTGTGCAATTGAGTTGTGTGTACTGAACGTGATGGTCCTCTGTACAGGAATCAACCAGTTCAACCACCTCGCTCTGCCCAACGCCCAGATATCCCAGACACCAATGGGAGCCCGAGCCGCCTCACCCATGAACCACCCACAGCAGATGAACATGAGCTCCGTCCCAGCAGTGAGGAGGGCAGGGGGGCACACAAATCACAGCACACACACACAAGCATACACTTAATATGAGCTAACACCCAGTTGCTAGTAAATGCACACTCTGTCTGCACAAAGTACCAGGCTAATTAAAAATGTAGTCCACTGGTCAGGTCATGAGATGTTGAATTTTAAGATGGACGAGTCACTGCACCAGCTTGTTAAGAAAAAGGCAGAGTGCTTTTTGTTCTGCAGTCTTTCACTAACCCAGGTGTGGGACGGAGGCATTGAACTTTAATACCGAACAATGTGCCCCTTGTTAAAGAAACGGACGGCAGTAAATACAAGATGTGCGTCATGGCCAATTTTTGGTAATGTTTACCTGTTGGCTACAACACAATTAAGTGTGAACAGGTTTAAATACTTGAATAATGAGTCCTATGAGCTTTGCTGATGTCTCGTGGGGAACTAGTATAGACACGGCAGATGCCTAAAAAGTCTGAGAAAGCGTCAAATTAGTTTTGTTATATTCCATGGAATGCGCTTAACATCCCGATAGCAATGAATATATTAAATGCTTTGACAATAAATACATAAAAAAATGTAATCTGTGGAAGCCGTAGTACTGTAAAAAGCA